TTTATTGTCTTTACTGATGCACAAATTGCTTCATTTTGAGGCAGTAAGCATTTTTTCTGTTTGATTCCCAAATCTTTTGGGCATCATAGCAGTGTTCCCATGTCAAAGGAAGAAAAATCGCAAGTACTTTCCACCAGTCAGCTATTTATGAGAGGTTCCCAACACCTCCTTCCCTTTAGATTCTATTATTTGTTAAGGTGACTCACAAATCAGGGGCACACACATTTACCAATTTATTAAAGGCCTCAGGTAAAAACAGTCAAATGAAGAGGTACAAAAGGGCAGAGACTGGAAAGCTCCCAAATGCAAGTGCTCCTATTCCTTGTAGTTGGATATATGTGGGTATGTTCACCAACCTGGAAACCCTCTGCATTCTACATTTTGGGAGTATTTATAGCACCTTCATTGCATAGGCTTGATCAACTAGTAATTCCACTTCCAGTCATTTCTATGTCAAAAACTAAGGTCAAAAACAAGTATTAGAACAAGGATGCTCCTAGTGCTCTTATCACTTAGGAAACTGTAAAGGATTCAGGAGTTCTGGCCAGGAACCAGTGGCAAACAAACATATATATTTATATAATTTCCTATTGTTTCACAGTGAAATGGTGCAAAAGTGGGGAGGCAAAATGTCACTGTTGGTGGGTTCTCACCTGTGCACTTACAGCTGCAATTATAGGACTTGACTCAGACTCAGGAACTCAGCAACAACAGGGGTAATTTACAAAGGGGAGAGTGAGATCTAGAAGTTGGGAGAAAGGAAAGAGCGGCAAGGCCAGAGGCATTGCAATGGTCAGGAAGCAATTTGAAGCAGATGTTAGATGTGAAGATCTTAAAAGTCAGAGTTCTCAAAGGTGCAAGTTCTCAAAGAAGTGCAAAAGCAGGCCCACAAGCAGTCAGAAGCAGCAATCAAACTCTGGTGTCCTCCTAGGCTTCACTGGACACCAGACGACTCAGCACCAAAGGCAATGGCCCCAGAGGTTGGTGATAGCAAGTCAGAGGCAGGGACCAGTATTATAGCTCTTAGAGATTCTGGACACAAAGCCAACAGCAAACAGGTCTTTTACAGACACTGAACACAGGGCCAGTGGTTTCATTCGGCAGGCAGTGTCAGAGGCAGGGCCAGCGATCAGGTCTGGGAAGGAACAGTGCCAGAGGGCAGTGACCAGTGCAACAGCTCTAAGAAAATTTTCCCAAGGGAAAGTCAGGAGGAGTCTGCCTCCCTCAAAGCTGGCAGGAGCTTGACTTACTTTTCAGGAGCTGGTTTTTTGAAGCTCATTGGCCCTTTTTAATTAATTGGCACTCATGGAAACTCCAATCAGATTGGTGTGTTCAAAGTCCCAGCCATTTTGTTAGTGCCAGTCAAACTGCAAAAGTGTGTGCAGCCCAACCTATTCTGAAATAGGGTTTCAGAACCGAACACCAGGTGCTCCTTTGGCACTGGTACAAGTTTGAACATGACTGGTGCCCATAGGAGCTCCAATCAAATTGGTCCGTTTTCAATCTCATGCTTGCTTCATGGGCTCCTCTGACAGCAGTTCCTTAGTTTCTTTGCTTTCTGGTGTGACAAGATTCTTTCCATAAACCTAGAATCAGCCATTTCTCTGGAAAAACATGATTCCTTTATCTAGAAAAGGTACGTAAAGTCTCAATCTGAGCGCTAGAGGTGCTCTTTGGCATTGGGATTGTTTCTAAGTACTTTTCAGTGAACAGAACTTGAAAATATGAGTTTTTAATAAAACTGGGTTCAAACTATTGCATTCAATAATTGAATGATCTTCGGAGATCTTTCTGTCAGGATATGAAGAAACTTGCAATGTATCTCTATTCCACCAGACTATCCACATGCCAAGTGATGTTATTGTGTCATCAGAATTGGTGACTTGTTTCTGGACAATGTTAACTAAATATTGATCAATTTTTACTGACCAATTATCTTTCTCATATGTATGGCCACTACACATTCTAAATAAAACATCAAATGGTCTCAAAAGTGTTATTGTAAATATGGGGACAACAGAATAAAATACTCTAAAACTGAACTCCCTGGAAAAGGTGAACTGTATCATTGCCATATAAATACTCTAGGCAAGAACGGCCAGTACATTGCATCATCCTTGATAGTCATCACTAACTAATCACTCTTTGCTACTGAACTGTATGTACCTTAGAATCCTTCACAATTTTCCAAGAAGCATTACAAATCAATGTTGCCAAGCCAAACGATGTCTATTGCTATCCATATTCACGGCAAACCAATGTTCTTCTGTTATCACATTACAACTTTGTACAATTGATTAAGAGAGCAGTTGCCAAATTGGGTTCTGGAGTGTACTATTCCTGTTAACAGGTGTTCCATAGACAAAAGAAATTTGTGGTCACAAAAGGTTGGAAAATGTTCAGTTTAAAAATGATGGTTTCTCCAAAGTGTCAAAAAAAAAAAAAGACAAACTTGCTGGCAAACTATAGATCTGAGGCATACAGCAGGGGTCGGGGAGAGGGATCACAACAGGGGAGGGAAGAGCACCTGGAATTGTGGTGATGTGGTGGTGGGAAATTTATGGAGACTACCCCTGAATGGAGAAGAGAAATATTGTATAACAATGAGCAAAGAGGGAAGAAAATTTAAAAGTTTAATAAAAAAAATAAGAAATATTTAAATGATGGTTTTTTTCCTGCAAGAGTCTTTAATGTTCTAATAGGCATTGTAACCCTCCAGGAAGAGAACTCGTATGCAGGGTCTTTGGATTTATTTGACTACATCATTGAACCCTTTTGTTCATAAGCATGTTGTGAACACGGGATGAGCCATTTCTATTAATCACATTCCAATTATATCTTCTTGAAGCCCAGGTCAATGTATTTAAAACTGAATCTGAATTAGAGACTTGTGAAGACAATAAACTTTATATAATATACTTTACATACTGAATATTGATTTGGGGGCCTGTGTGTCATTCTCCAAAAGTAACCTTTTCTCCAGTGTCTAAAGGAAATCTTGTTAAAACTTACTCCTATCTACTGACCACACTGATTCTAATTTTGGTAGAAAAGTGGTGTGGGGTGTGTGTGTGTGTGTGTGTGTGTGTGTGTGTGTGTGTAACAGTATTACAAAGATAGGGTTACATTATATCATTACCCATGGAAGCCATGGTTTGACAGATCTCAATGATGGATCACTTGAGATATTCCAGTCTGAGAACCACAAAACCACCTACAGCTGTTACTTTGAAATTTGGAGCTATCCACTTTGTGCTGTTCCCTCATAACTAGCAGTGGTCATGTTGCTTCTATTATTATACATGGATGGTAGTTGCTTTTCAAGTGGCCTCAAGAGACTCTTTTAATATAGGATTTGCAGTTAGAAATCTTTAGGCTAACATAGAATTTTGCTTACTCCTATGGGTTCCAACATTCTGAAAATATGTGATGCCTTCAGCAGTTGTGAGCTTCTAACTACAGAACTGGGTATCCAAGCCTAGGAATGAAAGGCTCTTAAAACTTGAAAGTAGGTTTGGTTGATTCTCAGTAATAATATCTATGAGAAAAGGAAAACAGAATCTAGATTCATCTGAAGATGAAGGACCATAAAATGAAGGGCTATTATTTGAGCAGGTCAGAAAACAGTTCACTGGGGCATGGAAGAAAAATGTGGGAACATCAACGCATTACAATGTATATATATAATATAATATGAAAGCTTATGTGCACAATAGTACATGTACATAATCTCTAAACACACATTCGTATTTTGGGCCCCATGCTCATTTATACAGATAAGAATGAGCCTTAAATTTTTTGATTTAGAGGAGTATGTGCATTCCTTCTCTAAGAAGAGTGTTTTAATGAGTATGTATGAGGTCAGAGGTAAGACTGGTTGAAACAGGACAAAAGCAATTCCATTAGATCCATTCCTTTTTATTTTAAAATAATAATACTTGTGGATGATACAGCATTCATTCATATTCAACAAATGTTTCCAGAGCACGTCCTAGGTAATAAGCATTGCCCTAGGCTCCCAGGATAAAGGGTGAACCTAAACAGTCATAGCACAGTCTAGTTTACTGGAGAAAGGTAGTTTCAAATAATCCTACATTTAAATATCTCATCATAAATGGAGAAGTATGATGAAGGAAAAGTCCCAGCGGGCTGCAGGAGGCTACAAGAGAATAAATGGGGACACTTTTCTCCATTCTGGGGTTATTGCGAAAGGTTACCCTGAGGAAGTGCCTGAGGGCTGTTTGAGTGGTTTACTTGGGAAGTAGAGAAAGTGGCCTTGATGGAGTCAGGGCAGGTGTGAGGGCCCTGGAGGGACACAAAACACGGTTTCACAGACATGGGGCAACTACAGCGACTCCGTTTCAGAATAGAGTGCAGGTTAAATGATCCCAGGAACTCTATCTTCCTTTGCTTCCAGAAAAAAAAAAAAATCACAAAGCAGTACCAGAGGGGCGCAGAAGACAGCAAGAGGGGACTTGCGTAGTGGCTAGGCACAACTGGAACATTGCATTCTGCCCCAGGAACTATCCCAGCCAGGCTAGTGGGTCTCTAGTGTCTGATCGGAATCTTTCCATTTGGATGGCCATAGAGTTTCCTAAACAGTAGTTAACTCGAGGGCCTGGTAACGGGTTGTGATCATGCATTTCCCCGAACTGTTTGAAGCAGGTGCTGTCCTTAGGGAATAGTAGAGGGTTTTGAGGAAGGGGTTCAGGAGCTATGTCAAAGGCTAATGCAGGAAACAGGGATGTGGCCCTCGGCTGCGGTGGGAGAGCAGCACTTGGTGGTCCACTGTCGCAGGGCACACTAATCCGAGAGGGAAGAGGAACAGGACGAGTCCAGGCAGGGCTGGACACTGAGCGCGAGAGAAGAGTAAGCTGGCGAGCGCTCTCCCCACCGGAGCGCGGGAGGCGGCGACACCAGGTTCCCCGCGCTGGGAAAGGGGCTCAGGCGAGCGGCGCGGGCCCCGCCCCCTCTGCTGGCGGGCGCGGGCGCGAGACGCTGCGCGGCGGCAGCGGCGGGAGCGAGCGGCTGCTGTCAGGCCACCCAGGTCCAAGCTGCACTTGCTGCCCCATTGAGGACGAGGAGGCAGCAGGGAAGGTGGCGGTGGCGCGGAGTGACCAGACTGCCGAGCCGCAGAGCTGACCGGCCTGGCCCGGGGCCCTCTGCGTTATTCCCCATTGAGGCGGGTAAGGCGCCCGCGCGTGGGCCGGGCGAGGGGCTGCCCGGCCGGCGGATCCAGGAGGCCGGAGGTGGGATCTGAGAAAAGAGGGAGAAAGGGAGGTGGGGGCGACCGCCTGGGGCCCGGCCTTGGGAATGGGGCCTCGGCTCTTCCAGGGTCGACGGGGGAGGTTGCGGGAGAGGGGGCGTTGCTGAGTAATCCGGAGTGGCTGCCCCAACCCGGCTGGGAGGCGCAGGGCTCGGTGGGGAGCGGGTGTGGCTCAGTGCGCATGCGCCCCAGCCGCCGACTTCCGAGGAGCAGGGGCGGAGGTGTGAGCGCCCGGTCCGAGGTAGTTGCTACTAGGCGTGACAGCTCACTTTCCTGGGCCTCAAGGCTAACAGCGTCCCTTCTCAGAGATGCCAGACGTCCTGGTCTCCAAAGGAAGCTTCTTTCCCTGTATCCTGTCGGCTAGATGGCACCCAAAGCTTACCAGCCTACGGTCTATTTGGGAAGAAATGCCCAACTGCGGTCTAGTGTGCCCCCCCCACCCCGGGCTCCTAATGGGAGCCCTCGTTGGGAGAGAAAGAGGAGCCGTGAAAAGCCACCTCGAAACCCTTGAGACGAGATAGGAGTTTAAAATGATCATGAATGAAGGAATAGCGTCTCGAAGGCTTGACAGCTGTGGCTTTTGGACTCTGAGCTCCGGTGTAGCTGATAACTTGTTAGCGCTACAAAATAAATTCAGAGTGTCCCAGGGCTTCTCCCCACTACGGACACCCCTAGACCCAGCATCAGGTTATAGGGCAAAAATAGCTACACCATTCAAGTTAGAGGTTCGCAAAGATCTAATTGTTCTTTATTTCTAGTGATTTTTATATAATTTAGAGAAAACCTCGCCCAGGTCTCCAGTACAGTATTTTCAAATACTGTGCCAAGACTCATGGTGAGTTGAATCGCCCTCACCACTGTGTCACCGCAAGATGGACTTTCCCCACAGCTCAACCAAAGCTCCTCCTCTGTGCAGACTGCCACCAGGGCCACTCTTATCGACAGCCTAGCCCTCCCTGCTGCTCCTCCCCCAGTCCTGCAGTACACATCCCTCTAAGACTTGCTCCCAATCTGCACCATGGATTTGAGCATCATTCCTCCCATGGCAACGGAACAGACGTTGCCAATTTGCTTCCCTCTCCCTCATCACTCTAAAATGCACTATTTTCAATGGTTCAACCTCTTTCTCTTCATTGTATGGCCTCCTCCCTTCCTTCCACCCCCACCTTAATCATCTTCAACTAAATACAGTAATTTTCATAAGCCTGAGTGGGTCTGGGCACATCAGATTCAAAAGGTTTCAAGTATGTTGAACAAAAAAGCCAGGGAGTATTGGGTATGTTCATTTGTTCTTCACCTTGCTGTCCAAGGCTTAGATCCTAACTGGTGTGAAGGGGATGTCTAAAGTATCCTTAGAGAGGTAGGAAAAAGGAATTGTATCTCTGGGATAAATGAGTTAATTAAAGCCAAATCTTTCCCTGCATAAGATCAAAATCAGAATAAATATTTTAGTCCAAATCCCACCTTGATAGGACTGGACTCATAAAACATTTGGCTTTCCTACTAAATGTCTTCTGGGTTATCCAGAATTCATTTGCCTCCTCACTGCTACCTTCTCTTAAGGTTTGACTTAATTTGGAATATTATGGTAAAAGAAAAGTTTTTTATTGTTTTTTATATTGTATGAGCTTTTAATTTATGTAGTGATGGATATTCATTTTCAAATGATGACAGCAAAAATGATGATGGTGGTAGTGGTGGTGCTGGCAACCACTCAAAATATAAAGTATAGACAATTATTCTGCTCTTGTTTTGGGGGGAGTGGAAAAAAATTATATATTTTAAAAATGTGGGCGCTCCCTGGTGGCGCAGCAGGTTAAAGCACAGCACTAAGAAGCTGAATTCAACCCTGCCCCAGAAGTGACCCACATGGCATGTCAGACCTTTCCTGACCTGCCCGCTGCTCCCTTCCACAATGTACTTGGTCAGTCTGCCTGTTCTGCTCCCCACTCTGTCTCTGGTGAATCCTCGCAACACCCCTGCACCTCTGACCTGTACCCCAGTTCTGTATGCATAAATAAATAAATCTCTAAAAATTGTAATGGTAGAGAGCATGGAACTGGAGTATTTCCATTGATTTTCAACAGGTAGAATATAGAAAGTGATCCAAATAAGTTCATGACTTCTGCTCTTTAATCCCCTTACAAGTAGTAGCATTTGTGGATATATAGTACTATGGTTCTGTTGTACCTTGGCATCAATGCAGGAGCATTAATCCTGGGCAACTACCTAATCATTTCATTAATAAATACATATTTTTCGTCTATATGAAGACTCTGATGCTGCATGTTAAAGGGGCTTCAAAACCTTATATAAACAGGGACCTTTCTGTCCAGGAACTTAAAATTTAGTGGTGTCTAATTTGAAAGGAAACATGCACTCCTATGTTTATTGCAGCACTATTTATAATAGCTAAGATATGGAAACAACCCAAATGCCCCAAACTGATGAGTGATGAAGAACATGTGGTATATAAACATAATGGAATACTACTTAGGAATCAAAAAGATAAATTCATGCCATTTGTGCCAACATGGACAGAGCTGGAAGGGATTATACTAAAGTGTATAAGCCAGAAGGAGAGAGAGAAATATTAGATGGTTTCATTAAATGTGAAATATAGAGAAATGAAGCAAAGGGGCAGACAACGACAAACTAAAACCAATGCTTGAAAGCGGATCCTAGATCTGAGGCATCCAGGAGGGCAGAAGAAGGGTGAGAGAGGTGGGAGGGATAAAATGGCAGGGAGGGCCCCTGCCCCCCAACCCCCCACCGCAGAAAGAATGCACAATGCACTATGGTGGAGGACTATGGGTATTGGTGGTGGGAGAACTATAGATACCACACCTGAGGGGAGAAATCCTATACTATCCAAAAATTTGGAAAGATGTAAAACAATGGTACAAATTTTTTTAATTAATTTTTTTTCAAAAATAAAGTTTAGTGGTATACACATAGTTGGAAAAAGGTTTTGTTAACAAGGCAGGCTGTATAATTATATAACTCTAAGCCTTGGGTTCTCAAGCTTATATGTCAAATTTATAAACTCCTTGAGGGCAAGACTTTTTCTTAAACATGTAAGCATTTCCAACAGAGTATACACTCAGAGAGCACTGAAGTGATGAAGTTTGGCAGTGGGTCAGGTGGAAAAAAGCAGCTTTTGTAGTAGATTAGATGCAAGGAGATTTGGACCAAAATGAGAGTGATAGCAGAGGGCTCTAAAAGGACATCCCAACGAAAAATCTGTAGGATTTTTTGACTGAAGGCAAGGAGATAAGGCTAAACTGCAGTTGTTTCCACCTCTGACAAACAAATGGAAATGGGAGGCATCAAAGGAGAATGGCAGGTCACTTTGCTAAGGACACAGCACACAATAGGCCCCCAAATGTTTCCTCAAACATCAGTAGCAAGATTGGACCAGAAGGCCCTTATGGTCCTGACATTGCTGATAGCCACAGATACCCAAAATTGTTGGGGAGCAAGGCATGCTCAGATGTGGAAGAGAAAAAGAGGAATTGTTATCCCCTCACTAGCAGGCCCTTTGGAGAAGGGTTAATACTGAGTCACAAGCCCCTCCCCCCCACCAGTGATGGAAAGGTTGGTGGTGGAGCAACAGGAGCAAAACTCTCAAGCCAACATTTCAATAAATATTTATAAGTCTTTGCCAACTTCTTGAATTACTCATTTGCCCCCAAGTCCCATAAATTAAGTAGGGAGGCATTATCCACTCTATCTTTCTATAGGAAGACAATGAAACACAGCAAAATTAAATGACCGGCCCAATTTCATAAAATTCTAGGAATGGCATAGCAGCAATGAAGACTTGTCTCTTGAATGCTGCCAGCCCAGTACACTTGGCAGTGAACTACATTTCTTTCCCTCTTTTCCCTGTATGGAGCCTATGTACCCAGAAGTTCTGTGTGCCCATGACCAAATAAGGAAGGCACAGGCAACTGGAGCATTATCTCAGATAGTTATTAATACTCTATCATTATTCCTGGAGCTGAGTATTTGGTTTCCATATTCACTCAGCCCTTGACCCGCAATTGAGTTGATCCACTGCAGGAAAGTAGAGTTACTGAGTGGTTCAATGATGTGAACACCTGTTTGCTAGGAACTTAAGAAAACTCCTTTAGCTTGGCCTTTAATACTATCAGGATTGTGCCCCAGTTTGTACTTCCTGCTGTTACCTTTTTAGCGACAGTTCAAAAGACAGGCTTTGTAAAGTTATCCTACAGACCAGGACAAAAAATAGAGTAGTGTGCTAACCCTTGTTTCATCTCCATTGAAAGAAAGAGTTGGTACTTGAGTTAGTTCCAAAGGCAGCAATTCAGGAGCAGGAAAGAAAAAGGAGAACAAAAGTCAAGTGTTTTAGGGAACTTGAGAATTTTTTTAGTGTCTAGATCAAGAAGGAGAATAAAGTCTATCAGTTTAGAAGATACTGTCTGAATTCATAATTATTGATTTAGATTTCTAATGACTCCATTATTGTAGAGTTTATCTATATTGGAAAAAAAAAAAACAACCATGTCATTATTCAGCATCAGAGACTTCTTAAAAGTTTTGCTCAGTAAGAATACTCAACAAGGGCCTCCCTGGTGGCACTGGAGTCAAAGTCTCAGCGCTGTCAAGCTATCACTATTACAGCATGAGTTCGATCCAGGCCAGGGAGCTAACCCACATGGTACAGCAGATCTCTCCCATCTTGCCCACTGCTCCCCTCAGCAGTATTTCAGTGGATCTGCCTGTTCTGCTCCCCACTCTGTCTCTGGTGAATCACCTCACCATCCCTCCCCCTACACCTCTGGCCTACACCCCACTTCTTGTATACATAAATAAATAAAAATAAATCTTTTTAAAATTACTAAACAAATCTAGTGACTAAGTTTTCTTTTTAAGGCCAGTACTCTTAATGCTGCTTAAATAAAACTCTTGCCATAATTAGCTGTAATATTAAATGGAGTTGTACTTGAATTTAATAAATTCAGCTAAATGCTGAAATCTGTGTTGAAGACAGACATTCCTATTAGTAAGTAAAATAATTAACCAGGAGAATATGTTATAAACAGGGAATCTGAAAATATAATTTTTTCTTCTCTGACCATGTGTGATTAATTGAAGAGACAATCTCAAGGCACACTGGTGAGTGGGTGAATTAATGACCTTTGTGGAGCAGAGAATATTGGAAGGTATAAAGGGAAGGAGTATCATCCCCAAATTAGAATTTCAGCATATCTTAGACACCTCTGTGCTTTCCCTTTCCTGAATATTATCTGTTGCAAATATTTTCTACTTTCTTTGATTTACTTATACACTGAAAAAGTGTTTAATGGAGAGAAAATATAAAACTTTAAAAATCATTTGAAGTCAAATTAAGATAAGTTGAAATCCAGACAATAAAATAATTTTATTCATTTTCAACATTGTAGCATTTTGAACTCTTACGTATGATGTGAAAAGCATCCTCTGCATGTAACTTGTAGTTGACATGTAGGGCTTTTACCTGTCTTGAGTATATTTATTTATATATACATACATATGTGTATGTATATATGTATGCATATATATATATATACACATACACACATATATATAACCTCAGTTTTATTTTATTACAGTTTTAAAAATCATGTTTCCTGATCTTTTTCAGAACCCTAAAAGGAAGAATAAAACAAGAAGAAGAAAAAGAAAAAGATTAAATTGTGACAAAGACCCAACTGGGTAGGTTTATACTTTATACTCAACTGGGAAGTCATATATTTTACTATTTTTTATTTATATATACTAGTTTATTTTTACATCATTTTGTGCATTTTTCCATCTCAGTTGTAATCCCCTTGGGCTTCCCATCACCAAATCACCCATGTGCCATCACCATAGTCCAGTGCATTTCCCTCCCCTCACTGTTTTTGATCCCATTCCCCACTCCACCCCCGTAAAATGTCTCTGATATATAGCTGTTCATCATTATCATTATTTTCTCACTTGTTCTGTTATATTCCTGCTATGAGAGAAACCATCCAGTATTTTTCCTTTTCTTTCTGGCTTATTTCACTAAGCATGATCTTTTCCAGTTCCATCCATGTTGGTGGAAAAGACATGTTTTTTTTTTTTTTTTTTTTTTGGTTTATTTTACTATTTTTTAAAATTTGACCTCTTAAAATAAATATTTAGAAATGTATATAATTAGTAAGTACACAAGCATACCAACATAATTTTCATGACTATTGAAGGGTTTTTCAAACTGCATTTCAAATCTGTGTGCTTCCAATTTTTTTCTACATGTGCTATTTTGATCAGTGTTTAGTTTTCATCTCTTTGAATCTCTGGCATAAATAATTCCCAATTAGCATCATTTTTAAAAATCTAGTACCAAGTACTTGTTCAGTAAATATTGATGCTTTGATTTTAAGATGCAGTCTAGATAGTCCATGCTTAAGATACAAGGGCACAGTGTAGTTTTTAGTACTTTTGAGTTCACTGTGTGTTTTCATTGGTCCTTCTATGGATTTAGTACCTAATTCCAAAAAATAATAGCTATTCAAGATTTCCTTCTGTAATGATAGCTATTATAATGGTGTATCAGCTACTTAAGTGCTAGTGTTCAGTGTAAAAGATTAGGATGATTCTTTATTTGTCGTGGCATACATATCAATGCAAGTATAATAGAGCAAGCTGAGCTTTTTCTCTCCTTCAACCTTAGGGGTCCAGTCTGTTTCAAGCCCAAACTTGTACTAACAGAATCAAGATTTCACCTTACTCATAACTTCCTCTGAATAGTTCTCAAGACCATTGGGAACAAACCCCAAACCTTGAATCAGTGTGATACTATTTACCTTTTATTTGAAGTGTCCAAATCAGAAATGAATGTTAGACATTTGAGAGGCATTTCTGATCTAGGCTTTCTCCCCTAGAATAGGGTCAGAACTGAACCAAATAACAGTGCCATCTGCTAGTCCTTTTACCCATGGCATTCAGGCATTTTCTTCAGCAAAACAAGATCTATTTTCCCCCTTAAGCCAAGTTTTATTTGTTCTGCTGTACTATATCAATGAACATGAATCAAGAGAAGTCAAATTAGAAGTCCTCATAATTCATTGACATTTACTACATGGTTGATTTCATAGACGGGTTTAACTGTTTTCCCTCCGATTCTGTTTTTCCTTCTTTGTTTTTTCAGATTCTCTTTTATAAGCTCTTCCTCATCTGGTGCTGCAACAATGAGTGGGAAATCTTTGCTCTTAAAGGTCATTCTCTTAGGTGATGGTGGCGTTGGGAAGAGCTCCCTTATGAACCGTTATGTAACCAATAAATTTGACTCCCAGGCTTTTCACACCATAGGGGTAGAGTTCTTAAATCGAGATTTGGAGGTAGATGGACGCTTTGTAACTCTCCAGATTTGGGATACTGCAGGGCAAGAACGTTTCAAGAGCCTCAGGACACCCTTCTACAGGGGAGCAGACTGCTGCCTCTTGACCTTCAGTGTGGATGACCGGCAGAGCTTCGAGAACCTTGGTAACTGGCAGAAAGAATTCATCTACTATGCAGATGTGAAAGACCCTGAGCACTTTCCTTTTGTAGTTCTGGGTAACAAGGTAGACAAAGAGGATAGGCAGGTGACTACTGAGGAGGCACAAGCGTGGTGCATGGAGAATGGGGATTACCCTTATTTAGAAACAAGTGCCAAAGATGATACTAATGTGACAGTGGCCTTTGAAGAAGCTGTCAGGCAGGTGTTGGCTGTGGAGGAACAGCTGGAGCACTGCATGTTAGGTCACACTATTGACTTGAACAGTGGCTCCAAAGCGGGATCTTCATGCTGTTAAAAGTAGAAAGCCTTTGAAAAGTGTGCCCCAAATTGATCAGTCAGTAGTGTAAGCATAAGTGCCCACCTAAGAGTGCGTGCGCGCGCGCACACATACACACACACACACACACACACACAAAGGGGTACAAGATAAGGCTGTGATTGTGAAGCAAATCCTTTCTGATTGAAGTTGTAGAGTGATTTAAAAAAAGCTTTATCAAGTGTATTTTGCGTGATATCTACTATTTCCTCCTTGTGTGTATCAGGATGTTTAGAAAGCTTTAGTCCTGAGGGACTTCACTATTTTTTCAAATCACAGTTTAAACTTAGAACCCAGTCGCATGAAGGAGTTAAAGAGCTACAGCTATCCCTCAAAGTGTTTCATTAATCTACTAACAAATGTCATCATTGACTCTTGCCAAGCAGTTTCTGACATTTCTGCCAAAGGAAAAAATAAATGAAGACTTTGAGCTGTATTATAATAGATATTAATAACGCAACAAGGATGCCCTAAGCTTGAATTAGAAAGAGGTGGTTGGTAGTGATTATGAATACAAAAGTGTAATGTTGTACACTGCCTTGTTTGAATCCCTATGTTTGTTCCCACCTGAGCTTTTCAAAACATATCATCTCAATATGAGATATGATACACTGATGGCATTGGGCATTCATTTTACTCCATTCGTATGAAGAAACAAGGCACTAGTGAATGGATTGTGCTTAAATATGCCAGCCACCCTTGCAAATGTATGGTCGGTCCACTTTTGCTGCATAAGTTTCCTTTTGCTGCATAAGGTGTTGTTGCTTCTCTCACGACCTCTTACCAATTGATCAATGCTGCTATAGTATATGGCTTCAGATGCAGTGCTCTCTGCTTGTAACTGATGGTCCTTTGGTCCACCATGCTTTGTGTCCAGAGAAGCCTTCAGAAAAGATTGGGGGATAATGGGCTTTTCTCACAAGGTGTTCCTTACTCAAATATTTATTGTGAAAAAGGAACTCATTCCTTGTATGTTGCACTGTATGTTCAGCTGGCCATACTACAACATGAAAAGTGGCAAGAGAATGTACTTTAACCCAGCGTGAGAATCAATTTCTCCTGATTATTTTGTCCAGCAGTGGAATGGACTGCCTTAATAATGACCTCCCTTCCCATGGAAATATTCAAAGAGATATTGGATGACCACCTGTTAAAATACCATAAAGAGAATTTCTATACTCGGTAGATATTCAGTTTAAGATCTCTACCGGCTCTAAATTCTACAACGCTATAAACTACAAACTGGGTTCAGTGCCATGTTACAGTTAGATGTATGTTTCTTAAGACAACAACTAAGACTATGGAGAAGAGGAAATTTAGAAATCCTCAAACTATTGTGGAATCAGCATTTAAAAGCAACTATAGGAGCTCTTTATTTTTGCTTTTGTATTATGTTCAGGAAAATTCTTGAGCGCTCAGTAATCATATGCCCTGATATAAAAATACTGTATTAAAATATAAACATGGTTTGTCAAATTTTAATTGCCATGACTGCCAGCTATATATCATGCGTATGCAGTCTAGTTATTGTTGGTTGATCTGTTTGTCTTGCATAGCTTTTAATCTGTAATTTTAAAAGAGCTATGATAAAAATAGTGACTCAAGTTAGTGAGGGACTGTTAGAAATGATCCCAAAAAGAGACCCTAGGGAGGGGAGGGATGGGAGCTTTCACGGGAATGCAGCCTAGAACTCTGCAATGTAGCCACATATGGAATCAGCCTTACACATGGGACCTTATATGCTTTTAAGAGCTCTGGGACTTTTTGGCCACATAGATGAGTAGAGGACAGTATTTTAACCCAGCCATGCCGAATATTTCTTATTTAAATATAGTCCTGACTTGATGGTCCAATTAACTTTGATGCCAGAAGTCAAAGCCAGACTGGGACCCCACAGCTCTTAAGTATTGGTCCCTATCCTGCCGATGCCTATAGCTAGCCACACTGGTTTCCAAGTCCTACGATCATTTTGCTGCAATTACGTTAAGGTGAAACTATGTATGTAAGAACTGTTAAATGCTAATTGTTTTTAAGTGCATGAGACCTGGGGCCTTCTCTTTCTATTTGCACTCTGCTTATAATAGTTTCTCCCTGTAGAACTCAGGCCTTCATAAGATCTCCATCTACTCACTTGTCTCTATTAGAATGGCATGTGGTCATTTAAATAAAAAAAATTATGTGGGTATCTCATTCATAGGCCTCCTGTCCATCCAAGACAAGTGTTAATTTTATTAGCAGGCCAACTGAAGCCCCTTTTCTCTTAGCCATACGACATTTTCCTGCCAAATCACAACAATATCCTAATGAAAGCACTTAACACAATATCCTAATGGAAGCACTTAACATTAAGTGACAAAAACAGCGACTTTTTGATGAGTAACACTCAGTGTGGTGCTGACATATGGTTTGGATAATATTTAAAACACCAAAGGCTGAAATCTGTGAGTACCAGGAACTGTGCATGTAGGCTTAGAACTTGACTGTGTGCCCTGAAATGTGCAGTGCAATATTTTCAGTAGGTGTTTTTTTATGAACACTTGCTATTTTGAAGAAGATATTTCTCATTGTTACTACACTGTTTTCTGATGATCCATTTAAATACCACACCGAATATTTATTTAATTTATTTTCAGGCATTAGGCTAATTTTCAGGGGGCCTCAGATTCCATATTTTCAGTGGATTGATGAATTTCAGGTTCATTTGTGCCTGTCTCAGCCATCTCTACTTCACCCTGAGGTATTCCACAATCCTCTTGTTGCAGGTGCTGCTAAAAACTCAAAATTGTGTATCAGATACTTTGTTTGAACAGTAAAAATCATCTATGTTAAAGTGAATAAAAGTGCATTTGGAATAACCAGTATACCAAATGTGTGTGGCTTTTTCCCCTTTCTCTTCTTGAGCAATCTGTGGGTGTGACAGGCTGTAGTTATCAATCAAGTCACTCTTTCAAGCCACCCTGCATGTGGCCTCTAGATCGTTTATATGTGTGTGTGGGTTTTTTTTTTTTTCCACATGGTACTCTAAGTGGCCGCAACCTGTTACTCAGATTCTGTTCTACTAATACGGAAAAAAACTCAAGATGTAAGTGGGAAGTTTCCTTTTATTTTATGCAACTTTATAATGCATACAGAATATTGGGGCCAGAAATTGGGTCTTAACTCTTCGCTTTATTTTTTCATTATAACTTAATACAAATAGAATTAAAGATATTGCAAAATATGAACAGGATAGACACATTACCTTTGGTTCCTTGACTGGTATACTCTCCAGGTCTTAGGAAAAACATGAAAATGTTGGTAAAATAAAGGCTAGTTTTGCTAAATATTCTGTTCTCTTGCTCTTCACATATTGGACTTGAAACATAGTTGGATTAGCAACAAATACCTTAAATGTTCATAATGATGACTTAATTACAGACCATCTCTCTACAAAATACAATTTCATACATAGATACCAACGGTCACAACTTTCACCCTCTTCTCCCTCCCCTCTACTTTTGCCTACTGGGCAGTTGAAATAACAAGGGGGGAAAGCTCAGGTGTTTTGGCCACATAGGCTGTCTCCATCTATGATGAAAATCATTTAACAAATTATCAGAGAATACTTCAAATAGAGCGCCAGAAATCCTTTTGATTGGGCTATAATGATGTAGCTTTTGTGCTATAGAAAAGCATAGATTTATAAGCCTCTTATGTAGTATTTGCTCATCCAAACCTTATTTTTAAAAAAAATTTTTATTATTTTATGCATATAAGAACTGAGGTATAGGCCAGAGGTGCAGGGGGTGAAAGGATTCATCAGAGACAGAGAAGGGAGCAGAAAAGTCAGGTTGAGTGAAACACACTGCTGAGGGGAGCAGCAGGAGGGTCAAGGGAAGTCTGCCACACCATGTGGGTCACCCCTCTGTCAGGGATCAAACTCGTGCTTCAGTGGCTGTGGATAGCTTCATAGAGCTGTGCTTTAACCCATTGTACCCCAACGAAGGGCCCTAAACCTGATATTTTAAAAGCAAAACTAGCCTTCTATTTTGCTACTTGTCTGCTTGACCCAAGGAAATCGTCTCCTCATGTCTGAAGACATAGCACAGACATGCCTTATCTTATTGGGCTTCACTTTGTTGCACTTCATAGGTGCATCATTTTTTTACAAGATCATCCCCTGCAAAAAGCTCACTTGGTGAAGGCTCACATGATGGTTATCAAATTTTGGCAATGAAGTATTTTAAGTAAGGTATCTACATTATTTTGAGACATAATAATATTGTGCATTTAGACTATGCAGTATAGTATAAACATACTTTTATGCACTAAGTCAAAAAATATCTTGGACTCACTTTATTGTATAGAAATGAACCTGCAATATCCCTGAGGTGTACCCGTATAGATTCTCAATTTTTGGAAATAGTTTGAGAGTGGTCCTTCCAGGAAGTGGAGGATATGGAATATATATTTTCAGTTCTATAATTGTATTTTTAAAACACTGTAAATTTGAGACTGTAATTTCAGGATGGGAGTTGGAGAGGGCATCCTAATGATCACCTGGATTATCTGAAGCTGATCTAACTGCAACAATTTTTTGATCCAGATCGTCACTTATACATTTTTTCTATCCTTGCTGTGGGGATTTAGGATTCATTACAGTGGAGTAATTTTTTTAGGCTTGATTTGAGGGCAAAAATAAAATCAAGGAGCACCCAAATGTATTAGGCAAATATTACTAACAACACATACACACAAAAGAACAAATACTGGGAAAAAACACATGTGTGGTAGGAACCTTCAACACCTACTCTCGCCAATGAACAAAACAATAAAAAAAATAGATAGGGACATACTGCTTTAAAAAAGGAATTAGTCCACATGGACCAAATAGATATCTTTAGGATCCTGCACCCCTTCAAAAAGCAAGATACACAATTTTCTCAAGTTCACATGGGATACACTCCAGGAATGGCCAAATATTGGACCTTAAGGCAAGTATCAACAAATTCATGAATATTGAAATCATTCCAAGTAACTTCTCTGATCATAAAGGTATCAAACTACAAATCAACCACAAAAGAAAAGCAGGGAAGTTCTAACTCATCAAGACTGAATAACACAGTACTAAAAAACCACTGTGTTGACTAGGAAATCAAAAAGGAATAAAAAAAAAATACCTTGAGGCAAATGACAATGAGAATGCAACCTTCTAGAACATATGAGACACAGCAAAAAACAATAAAAAGAGAGAAATGTTCAGCAATAAATGCTCACATGGAGAAACAAGAAAGAGCCCAAATAAGTAACTGTGTATCTCATCTTGAGGAACTAGAAAAAGATAAAATCAAACACCAATAGAAGAAAGAAAATAAGAATTGGAACAGAAATAAAATAGAAATAAAAATGACAGTCCAAAAGATCAGTGAAATTAAAAGCTGATTCTTTGAAAAATTAACAGACAAACCTGTAACATGGTTCACCCAGAAAAGGGGGCGAAAATTCAAACAGGCAAAAATGAAAGAAGAGAAAAATTTTAAGACGCTGCAGATATTCATAGGATAGTGAGAGAATAATATGAATACATGCTAAAAAGTTCAATGACCTTGATAAGGTGAAAAAATTGTTAAAATAATCCAAGAGTGAGTGGGGGAGAAACAGAAAACTTGAACAAAACAATTACCAAGCAAGGAAATTGAAACATTAATCTAAATCCCCCCAAAAACAAAGTCCAGAACCAGATGGCCTTACATACAAGTTCCATCAAACTTCAAAAATGAACTAATTAATACCTATTTCTCTATCCAAGCCCTTTCAAAAAACTGGGAGAGAAGGAATACTTCCATATAAAAATTTTGAGACCAACATCACTCTAATACCAAACCAAATAAAGACCACACACAAAGAGAGAAAAAGCAAACTACAGTAAGAAGAAAAAAAGTAATAAACTTTAAAAATTAAAAAAAGAAGAAAAATACAGGCCAATCTCGGTAATGAATACAGATTCAAATAGTCTCAATAAAATCTTTTTTTAATATTTTTTAAAGGTTTATTTATTCATATAGAACTGGGGTACAGGCCAGAGATGCAGAGGGTGAGAGGATTCACCGGAGACAGAGCCGGGAGCAGATCCACAAAGTACACTCCTGAGGGGAGCAGCGGCAGGGTCAGGAGAGGTCTGCCACGCCATGTGGTCTCCTCCAGGGCAGGCGGGAATCAAACTCATGCGGAAGTGGCTTAAGCTTCTCAGTGCTGTGCTTCAACCCGTTGCGCTACCAGGGAGGGCCTTCTCAATAAAATCTTAGCAAACCAAATCCAACAATAGACTAAAAGGATTATACATCATGACCAAGGGGGATTTATAGCAGGGACACAAGGATGGTTCAATATTCAAAAATCAATTAATATAATTCACCAAATCAACAAAAGGAGAGATAAAAACCTTATGATCATATTAATAGATGCTGAGAAAGCCTTTGATAAGATTCAATACCCATTTATGATAAAAACTAAAAAAAAAAAAACAGGATAAGTGGAACATAACTTAACAT